AAAAATTGTCACAATTTGGAGACAATGGATAAAGTGATGTAACACTTTGGACGTCAGTTTACATACATACAAAATTACATCATTAGTAACAGTGTCGACAATTGTAGAACTTTCCAGCAGGTATAATTAGTGGTTTCATATATATCATAAGTGATGGGTGTTATTATTATGTTCTGGAGTATCCAAGAAATAAGTGTGTACTTTTAACGACTTATTCCAAACGAAGCCATATATGTTATCTTCTTGCTAGGTTAAAGGTTTATTATTATTCCTAGTCTCCAGACTATATTTTCTGTGTATGCTTCATTAGGTACAGTGCGCAGGCGTTTCACCTTTAGGTTTCATTTTCATTTAGTTGATGTTCAGGACTGGTGAGTGACTAAACTAGCATGGCTAGTAATTCAGATGAAAAATTAATATCACATGACTGGGTAATATTATTAGGTAATTCTGGTGTTTGTGTTTTCATTGCAGGTTTACAACCTAACAAAACTAACTAGACTAACAGATATCATAGCGGTAGCATTCAGGCTACCTAGTTTGTGGACGAGTATTGTGTATGTGTGCACAATAAAGCCCATAATGAAACTCGAGTTGTATCCGCCGTAGTTGTCCTGAAACCCTTCCAGTGGGGAGTTTATTGAGCTATAGAAGGTAGCTCAGTAGAGAACTGGACAACAATTTGGCCTGTAAGTCCTATAAATTCTGTTCTAAAAAGTTATTATACAATGAAACTGCTTACATGATACTGTTCAAACACGCTGTCGGACAGTCTTATGGCAACAAAATGCCCCCTTTAAATGTTCAAACAGGTAAATCTTCTCTCTTCAATTTTTACGTACTAACATCAGTTCACAAGAGTAATTAATCCTGTAGTCACTAGAGAGCTTTGTTACTTGAAGGTTAACAGAATTTTTTGGGCATTTGCAATTGCTGCTGAGTCTGTAGATTTTCTTGGAAGGACAGTCTTCACATAATATAAATATCAGCATAATGGGCAAAGCACTCATCCAACTTTGTCTGACCGTATATTTACCTTTTGCCATCCACTTGGACCATATCACCATAGCAGCAGTCCTCACTGAAGGCAAGCTGTATCACAGTCACATTGTAGGGAGCCAATAGATCCACTTGTACCCACTGACCAGGTATGTCTTCAGTTACACTGCAAGTTGAAAACTGACGGCCATCAATAACGTTGCTTGCTTGACCTGTGGTTTTCCACCTTAGGGAAGACTGATAAGCCACTCCTCTCAAAGCCACATTTTCTAGTGAAGATAAATGAGTTTAAAAAATTAAATTAGAAATGATCAACAAAATATATTAGTAATATTACCCGTTACAGGCAGAATATAACAAAGGCTGCTGGTTGTTGGTTTTACGTTGTTGCTATTTTATAAAATTTGACATTGTAGTAAAAGAAAATTAATTTGGAAAAGCTATTGTTAAGTGTTGTGCGTTCTCTTTAAGGAAGACTAAACATTAATCGTATCCAATTCCAGGCTTTCTGCAACATATGTAGTGTAAATGGTTTGCACATTTGCATCTGTGTGGTTAAACTTAAAAGGTCATGTTTTTTCCTTAAAGAGTAACAGCAATCTAAAAACCCGTGTTTAGGTGCCCTCTCTTTTAAAGAGTTTCTAGCCTGTTTCACTGCTGGTTTGTTGTTGGTTACCACACCCAACAGTGATGTGGTGAGGTCCTGAAGTACACTTGTACACTGCATCCAAGTGAGAAGTTAAGTTGCTGGGGATTTTCAGGGGTTATTAAAGCCTAGTTCACACTACACGATTTTAGCCTGATTTGCCGCTCAGCTAGCTCGGCAACCGTCAGGCTATGATCAGGAGTAAATAAGCGGTTGATTGTCAGTCATCAGTCGTTATGTGTGAACTACTCAATGACGCATCAAAATGGCTCCCCGACACATGACTGCCACATCGCAGACGTCTGCCAGATATCTAGCATGCCAAATATCTAGAAGAGTCGGACGACTCGACATCCACATCCAGCCAATGAGAGCAGGTAGCTGGCAGAGCAGGCAGCTACTTTTTTACCGCAAAACACGTTTCACTTCCCTCCAGCTCTCTCTGTAGCTCAGACAATCTCTGCTACCTGCATGCGCTAATGCATTCATTCACCCATATTTTTTTGTCTTTATAATTGGTATCTTTATTATAACAAACAACAGCTTTTTCCTGTGTAGGTCACGTCATTTTCTGTTTCACATTTCAGGTGTGTTTTCTTGACAAAATGTGGTTTGGAGACGAGCGTCGAATGACACAGTCGCTGTCAGCTCATGTAGGATGTGACCCCTTGTCACCTATCATTCACATAGTGTGAATGCCACAACAACTTCAAGACTCCTGTCACAAGACGGCAAGTTGTGTAGTGTGAACAGAAAATGACGTGACCTACACAGGAAAAAGCTGTTTGTCCCTGGCGGCGGGGAGCTTCCCGGCATGGCGTTCTGCTGTTCTTCCTCGGGGCAGGGTACAGTTTCCCCTGGGACATGCGCTTTGGGGGGGGTCATGGGATGCCCTGGCTTCTGGGGGTGGGGGTCTCTGGGCACTGCGCGGGTTGATCCGGTTGCGGTTTGGAGGGCTGCAGTGGGATTGTAGGGTGATTGTCGATGCATGTTGATGCATTGTGCTTTTTCCCTGGGCAGGGTCTCTGGATGGCTGCTGGGCGTTTAATTTGTGCATTGGAGTCCGGGGGAGGCATTTCCGGCCTAGACGGCCTTAGTTGGGGGGGACGGCGGACTTTTATTGGCGGGTGCACGGTGACCTGCGCGGCGGGTTTGCTGCTGGTGTTTCTCTCCGCTGGCTTTCGCTGTTGTGTTCTTCCGCTCGCTCTCTCTCTCATTTGCCCGACCTCGCACGCGGGATTCGCAGGGGGGTGCTGGGCATTGGGTGTTGCCGTGCTCGCGCAGTGTGCGCGTTGGGCTCCTCATTTGTGCATTGGTGTTGATAATTGCATGACAATTGGGCGTTTTGGTTGTTCGCTGCGCAGCGGTAGGGTGCTGGGTGGGGGGGAGCACTGGTTTATGTTGTGTGCGCGCCACGGTCAGTCCGGGTGCTGCTCTTCCGTGGGTTCCGTTCCGTCGGCATTGCGTTGTCAACTGGCATTTGGGTCGGGGTCTTCCGCATTTGCATCACGGTGCATCTGGGAATCTTTGTATTTATTGTTATTTTTTCTTGGGTTTCTTATGTTGTCCCTATTAGAATTATTCCTGATGCTTTTCTTTCAGTTACTTATTTAAATTAATTGTTATTATTCCAGCTCTCCTGGCTGTGCTGTGTTGCTTATTTAGTGTGTGTGACTGTTTCTTGTTTTCATTTTTCTCTTAGTTGTCATACTATGTCAGCTGTTTATTGCTGCTGTTCGGCTGGTTGTCTTTTACTATTATTATTTTTATTGTTTGTTTGTTTGTTTGTGTTTGTTTGTGTTTGTTGTTGTTTTTCTCCTCCCCAAGCTCCCCTCTCTGTTCTATTGCTATAGGTTTCGTTACTTTCTGCAATTGGTGTTTCCCTCTGCTATTCCCTGTTGTCCCCACCCTCCATCCCCCTTCTCTTACAGTTGTTGTCCTTTCTCTGTGCTGTCTGTCTGTGTCCCCCATCTCCATATCTGCCCCCCTGTCCAGCCCAGTGACAAATCAATACATAATTAAATAAATAATAAAACAGACAAAAGAGTATTTTAATACTCTCTTGTTAAAGTAAAATCTGTCTGGCACAATATGGTATCCAGCTCATCATACTCTATACCAGGCTGCTGGGCAGGACAGGTTTAAAAAAAAACTAACAAAAAAAAAAAACAACTTACTCTTTCATTAAGACCTTTAAATGGATGTGCAGTGTGTGCTTTACAACTGTTTCACAGGACTCACTGTTAAAAAGATAAAAGCTAGAAATAGTATAAATAGAATAGTATATTTTTACAATGTTACCATGTACCTGAAAAAGTCAGTGAGTAAAAAGGTGAAAATCTTTGTCCATTTTGTTGTAGGGTTAGGTTTTGTTGTTGTTTTTTTAGTGAAAGACATGGCTCTTTCAAAATGACATGCCCAACCAATGAGGTGAAATGCTCAGCTCCCATACCTGGAATACCCTGTGTGCATCGTATAGAGTTACACGCAGTGTTGGGCAAGCTACTTAGAAAATGTAGTGAGCTAAGCTACTAGCTACTCCACATTAAATGAAGCTTCCCTACACAGAAGCTACCCCCCAGTGAAATGTAGCAAGCTAAGCTACAGCAATGTGGCAAAAGTAGCTTAGCTACATCTAGGCTACTTATAATTTTTTAATATTTTATAGTTAGGTCACTTATATATATGTATATATAAGTTTCTGTCACTACATATCAAAGTTTCCTCCTCACTAGTTGAAGAGGTGTCCAGGCTGGACCCTGATCCTTCTCACAAGAGGTGTTACAGTAACTATCACAATAGAAAGTAAACTCAGTCAGGCATGTCTTTATTCCCCTGCAGACATCAGCCCAAGAATCGATACGTGATGTCACCGTCACACGGAAGCGCTTCCGCCGGCTGCACATACAGGTCCATGTGTAGCGGTGGCGTCACTTACTGATCCTTCAGAAATGTTTGAGAAAATGTAGCATGTGTGGAAGCTACCGCGCTACTCAGCCAATAAACGAGCTTCATTACTGAAAAGCTATTTGATTGAGAAAATAGCAACGCTACCACCGAGGGGCTGAGAAATGTAGTTAAACTAGTAACGGCGCTACTTGCAGCCCAACACTGGTTACACGACCCCTACCCGCCGGTTGGTGCGAGCAGTCCTGAACCCTTCACTCTACGTTAAATTTAAGGTAACACTATCTTGAACTATTTGAAACATTTGCAACAAGCTAAGAGAGTTAGCTTATGTAGCAGTGGTGAAATAAATACTATTGGCTTGCATCTGAGGATAATGGCTAATTAACTAGCTAACATCAGGTAATTTCACCCCACACGTTACTTCACAGTGGCAAGAGTACTACATATCTGCGATTTAGTACAATGATTAAATTTAGGTGGTATCGAGTCTATACTTCCACCATTGTGTAGGCTACATCTATTCAAAATCACGACATGAAAAAAAGAAAAGAAAAAATGCTGAGGTTGCTCTCTCTCCCCTTATGTGTATGTACATTGACACTAAAATAACAATAATCAATTTTATGCCATTATTTGATATTATTCTAGCAGCATAGTATTGTTGTTGCTTAAAAATTAAACATATTGTGTTAAGTGGAAAAAAGTTGATATTTTTTACCTAGATATTTCAAAATAATAAATTTTAGGCCTTAAATCGCAATACCACAATACCGTGTAACCATATGGGTAACATACTGTCAAAATCTCATACAGGCCCATGCCTACCTGTGACATAAACATATTTTGTGAAGTTTCATTCTTTATGATGTGCGGAGCTTACCAAGCACAGTCCCATACACCTGTACTTCACAAACTGTCAAATTCTTCTGTAGTCCAGGAAGAACAACATGGACAAAGCGACCTTCCATTATTCCACACTGGTAGTTGTATTTGTTCTGTCCCGTTGCAATGGAGATGATGGCACACCTGAAATGTAAGTATGAAACCAAAGAGAGAATCAAAGGCTGATAAGTACTAGTACTTCTACAGCAAGTAAGTACTCTTTTCTTCCTGCACCTCTGGTTGCTGGTGTCATTCTTGAGACCGATGCGGATCTCAGCACCGTCCAGCTCCTCTGAGCAGCAGTCGCTGATGCTGGTGACAGACACAGCTGTTATTTTGTAGATACTCCTCAGGTCCAGTTGCCACCAGGGGTTGTCTTGCAGTGGAACTGAAGCACAGGTGCTTTGTGGATCCTTCCCACTGTCTTCATCAATGGCCATTTGTGGAGCAGTTGCTGCAGAATCTGGTTCTCCAGACTGTGTGGCTACTCCTCTCGGTGCCACATTGGCTGACAGGCGTGCCATGAAGACATTTGTGAAAAAATGTATTCAGTAAGAACCAGTTACTGATTCATTTGGAGAAACACAGCACTTAGTGAATACTGAAGTACAGTTCAACAAGGCAAAATACTCTACAGCCAAGCTAGCAGATCTTCGAGGCCAGATTGCTAATTGTAAATCAAACCAAAGTATTAGACACATATAACATGTATTTATACCTGATGATGGCATTTAAGTAAAGATTTGAATTTTGGAAAAATAGCTGTAGTTTCTGTGTTTATGGGATTTCTGAATCACTTGTTTGTTTTGTGGCAGTATAAAAAAATTACACTTTTTTTTTTTTTACACAATTAAACACATTTTTCCACATTTTGTTGCGGTAAGGTTATGTTGCATGCATCTTACTTTTTTCTTGGTAGTTTTTGCCTTGAGTGTGGATAGAAAGCTTTTGTTACAGTATGTTACTGAAGCTTGTTATCTTTCCTGTACAATACTATTTGCTTTGCTTCCCTGTGTGTTATATTGTTTCAGATGTCTTGACATTTTCACAAACATTACTCCGAAAAATGAATACATATGAAAAAGTATATATATTTTGAACTCCAAAGAAAATTTTATCACGCACGGACTGGAAACCATTGATGTCTGAGCATAAAATTGGATCTAAATTCAGCAGAAAGCTGAACATGGACACACTGGTTTCTTCAATTAAGTTGTTTTGTAAATCTAAAGATCAATAACACTAAACAATATTGTGTCAATTTTTACCGCATTATGTTCACACAGAAATTATGGCATAATTGAACCAACTATTTAGAGGCCATTGCTCAGTGCTGCATTACTTCCTGTAGGGGTTGTAGTGGCGTACACTTTGACCTCACAAAGCTGAAGTCGCCTTCCTACACCACGGATGAAAACATTGACGTAACGTCCTTCCATCTGGTCACAGTTAAAGACATATTTAATTTCACTGGTCACAGTGATGACTCCACATCTGATGGGCAAAAAGACAGAAAAACAAAGCTATTGATTGACAGCAGGATGACGATTCCTACCTCCAAAGAATGCTAGTTAATGAAGATTTGTCTGAATATATAACTTAAAAAATAATAATATGAAGAAGCAGGATATACGGTAATATGAGGTTTCAGCACTAAATGACTAATTATGTACGGTATTAAATATATGAATAGAGTGAGTATATGTACAATTTATATACAGTATAATTTACTGGGAGTGTGATGACATCTCGCACCACGAGATCTTGGGAGATTAAGTGGTGACAAGGTCAGGTAAAAAGCTGTCTCGCGAGACAAATTAAATTTTTCACATGTTGTCAAGCCACACATTAATTTTCTCACGCAGTGAAATATAAATGTATAGGCCTAACTTATCAGATCAACACTGCCCAATGATTGACACCGGCATAACCTGCTCGCAACTGTCTGAGAGTACAGACCGCTGTGACGAGTGGTAACGTAGCTGATAGAGTTTTGCAACATAAACATCTAAAAACTGAAGGCATCCTTGCTCTGTTTGGAACTGTGAGCTGCACTTCATCTGAGCTGCAGATTTGTGGTAAGATTCCTGCCTGTTAAGAAGTTTTTCCATTTACTTTCAGTTTCACATGCATTTCACCTGAATTTTGTGTTTTTCTTTTATATATATATATATATATATATATATATATATATATATATACACACACACACACACACACACAGTTGAAAATGACACCAGTGTTGCCGATACATCACCTGCTACTGATTGGTTAGTGCAAATCAAAAGAAATAGCCCTACAATAATATCTGGCCCCGCTTGTGCTGAAATAGATCTCAGTCATGACAGCAACAGTTACTCACATAACCACTTCCTCTTAAGTGATTGTGACTTTAAAATAAAAGCGCAAGAATGTATTTTGCAGCAATGCTTTATGTCGAGCTTTTACTTTGAAGAGTTCTGAAGGACATTCAAAGAATCTCTTTGTTTGCTTGACACACCTCTGAAAAAGCCGTCACTAAACGTGTGATTGGATTCCCCTGAATTTTCCCCAGAAAAATTAAAATAAGTGTCCATAGGTTTATGAATGCGGATCAAACGCCGGGCACACACTGCAGCTTGCTTTATGTGAGCATTTGAACTGTCCTTTTATTCAATTTGTTTAACAAGGGAGAAAAAATATCCCCAATAAGATAGAATCGATTGCACAACCTACCCTTCAAGAGTCCCGCACGGTACCAACTGAGCTAAACATGGGCATTCTTCCATTCGGTCTGACTTTGTTCTGGCCCGCCTGATAACGGCTTGGAAAAATTTGGCCCGATGCCAGACTTATTTGCCGACTCCTAAAATAGCCCCTCCCAAACTGAAAATATCCTACACACAATGTGAAACAACCATTACATCACCTGGGATTGTTGTTGCCATTGTTCTCCAGTGAGTTACCAATGTGTATTTCAGCCCCCTGTATCTCATAAATGCAGCAATCTGATCTTCGGATGACTTCAATATATGAGATGTTGTATGGAGCCCGCATGTCCAGTCTCCACCAGGGGTTGGTCTCCCAATCAGTGGCAGTGCAGCTCCCAAGCAAATAGTTTGAAATAGATTTGCCATCAATCACCACGTCTGGCAGAAACGAGGGGTCAAACAGTGATGACTGAGCAGCCACTCCACCCAGAGCCACATTAGCTGGAGAGTAGGCACAGTGAAGTGATTATAGTGATTATAGACTAAATAATCAAATACTTGTTTGCAGTGCCAAATATGTAAAAACATCTACACAGGAAAGACCTTGATGATAAGCCTAAGCATGCTGAAAAATTAAAGGGGCTGTATGTAGTTTTTCATTGAAATCACTAATTAATAAATCTAATTTTCACTGCCTTATTGACAATGGGCTGTCGCCTTACTTATAAATGAAGCAAGAAGTTTTCTCTGTTGCTTGCATCAGCCACTATTGTGCTTTTAATGTGAGGACTCTGCGAGCACTTGCGAGGCTCTCTTTGATCACATCGACAAAACCACAGCTAACAACATACTGTCCACTAACACCATAAAACAACCATCTCCCAGCAAAACACAGATTCCAACATAAACGCCACGTAAGGACACAAAACAACAATAAAGTTTTATGTGCTGAAGCCCATCAGACCAAACAGATTGAGATAATGTCAAGTTAACACAACACAGTAAACATCAAAAAGGCTTGAGAAACACAGAGAGAGTCACGTTAAATGTTTTCTGGTGCAAAGTTGTATCGCTTTCCACATTACTTCACTAACTAACGCGACCCAGTCTACTAACCGTTTCGTTATCATACATTTACGTCAGATGTGCTCACATTGCTGAGCCTCCGGTGAAATATACACAGATAGTAATGGTAGTTATCATGTAATGAGCATCGATTAGTTCAACCTCAAGCAGCTGATAAAAATATTACTGTAACATTGCAGTGGGAGTTTCCCTTAGTTTCCAGTTTGTGTAAAGCTGTCTTCCTGTCTGTCTATAGCTGTTGTCACGCTGCCTTTTTGCAAACTGCATAATGCCCCTTTAAAGACAGAAAATCTATTCACAGAAACTAACAAAAGGACTACATATGTAGCTTAATGAGTCTGTCAAAGATTGTTCTTTAATTGTTCATATAATCTTCATCCTGCATCCAAACAAGCAAATTAACAAAATGCCTGTTACTTTAGATTGTAAACTACATTGAATGCTTTTTAAGACTTTTCAAGACCCAGAACATTTGAAACACAGTCCAAAATAAATAAATATAAATGTATAAATTTGTTTTCTTTCTTCCCTCTATTAATCACATCGAGACCCATCAGGTTTAACTTGTGACCATTTGAAGGGGGCCCAATCACCACGTTAAGTACTGACAATCTAATAATGTCATGTATATTTAAAAACGACAGGATGGTGTTCTGCAGAATGAGTACTTTCACTTATTCATATTCATACAACTTTTATACTTGTCTTACCTGCCTGGTGAGTAATCCTGAAAGTGAGAAGGATGGACCCTGCAAATACATTTCAAAATTGACACGAAACTCATGTGAGTGTGCAGTTCTGACATTTTCATAGTCAGTTTCTTTGTTGTTTAAAATTACATTTTTGTTTCAGAATGTGTCATTGTCAATGGGAAAATCTAATATATTAATTTAGGAAATCTAATAAATCAGTTTAGGAAAAATAAATGAAGTCATGTTCTTCTTCACCATATAGGATTTAATCTACAAATAAGCAACACGAAAATATCTAAACTAAAACATATATAGAACTTTAAAAAGTGTTTTTAAAGTTTAACCAAAAATCCATCTTTTAAACACATGTATATCATTGTATGACTTACCCCCAATAAAAATGAATTTCCAACTCCACTCCATGATTTATACTTAATTGTGTTCAACACAAAGCATGTCTTAAAGAATGAGATCGTTTTTTTATAAAAAAAAATAATTAAGCTTTAACGCAAAACGTGTGCTTATGATGGCGAGAATTCAGTTGCCTAAACAGCTCAAGATGCAGGTGTTCCTCATTTACCATGATGTGCATTTGAATTGATTTGCATATAAATAAATGCAAACCCCATTCACATACTCAAATGCATGAATGCAAAATATTAGCAACACCTGACACCTGAGTGACTCAGATCAAGTCCCCATGACAAAAGGGCACCTTGAAAATAAAATAGAAGCACTGACCAAGGGGGTCAGCAGTAGTGTCAAGTTTGATGCCAATTCATTAAATAAAGTGAAGAAAATTAATCCATACAGCTACAAAACATAAGTTACACCCTAATGAGTATATTCAAAACAGTCAGTATGTACATTAAATTTACAAACACAATGCACAAACATTTCCAAAAGTGCAATGCAAAATATAGTTATTAAGCATTTAAGTGGATTTTGTGTTAAAGTTACAGTTTGATTGACTTTGCACAACCCACGTAGTGGATCATTTAACATATGTTGATTTGTTGTAATATAAAAACACCAAATATATATATATATATATATATATATATATATATATCTCATGATAGACAGGGCAGTCCTGGTTCTTTTCTTCTGAAGAATCCTTGTGGATTGTAAATGTTCTGTCTTTAGTGATCAAACATTTCAAATATGATATTGCAATAATACTTATTTCATGTTGTGTTGTACTGGTCCTTCTGTATTAGAATATACTTCACCAGGGCTGGTATTTATCAAGCTTCTCAAAGTGCCATTGTAGTCTTAAGTGCTGAGAATTCATGAAATTTACTCCTACTTTTAAATAAAGTAAGAATAAAAGCCAGTTATCACATTTCTTAAAGCTAAGAATCACTCTTACTCTCCCAGTTATTTAAGGCAGCTCCAGAGGTCTCTCAAGTGATTAGGAGCTGCTATTTGGGGCTTGTGACGGCACTGTGGAGACAGAGAGATGTGCGAATATTTCAGGAGAGCAAGAATTTCTGAATTATTTGACGACACACAGTTAGACGGGGTCGGACAGCGCAGGCATAAACTTTGTCAGCGAGCTGGTGAGGGACGTCATCTCACCACCTCTTATGCAGTAATGCCTTTTCAGTTAAATTAAAGGTGGTGATGAATAAATGTAAATGTAATGATGACGCTTCATTTATTTGCTACAGGACAAATGCAGCAATGCTGATGATTTTGGCCCGTCACAACCATCAATAAGCCGAATGGTCATGGAAACAATTATTGCACTTGTAGCTCCACACACTGTCACGCGTTTCGTTGGCTTCCCAACAACATCCCCCGTAATCCAACAGAAGCAAACAGTTTATGCAAATAGCCGGCAATACATGAGTAGTAGGCGCATTTGATGGTGTTCATATAAAGATAAACTTATCTTTCATTTATTAACGTGTAGGCCTATATCATGATGTTTTCTCTTGAAAATTTTTAATTATCAAATATGTGATATTTATTATATTATTATGTGATAATATAAACTCCTTTTAGGAATTTCACCATTCAATGTGAATTCATCTAAAAATATTCTTAAAGAAGGAAATCTTCTCAGTGATTGGTCCGTGGCTACATCGTCATCCAAAATCCTGTTTGCGGCACAGCAAAGTGTCGTGAATCAGCTCTCAGACTGATTTAGTCTTACACTTCACTCAAATTAGGACTATGATGCTTGATAACTAACTTTTAAGTGCAGCTTTGAGCCAAGAATTTTTTTACTCTTAAGTCAGTTCTTTGCAGCGTTCTTATGAGTACTTCTGAGAAGCTGGATAAATACGGGCCCTGAGCACCAACACCCCCGGTACCAGGGGCAGCACGTGATTTCCGCGCAAATGGGGAAATTCATGTCTGAAACTTGTCTTGCCATGCTACACACCTCTGTGAAGATAGGAGACTCAGCTCGAAGCTCAAACCAACCATTTTTATCTACACCAAACACCCATCAAACACCAAGCATTTAAATGAGCTTATATCACACCATAAATCGCTCTGTAATCACTGTCTATCTTGATTGCCTGGGAGCTGTGGCTGCATTCTCTCGCTTTTTAAGAGAAGTGCCGCTTTGGAACACCTGGTCTTTTTTGCGGTCTGGTGGTCGACTGTAGTAGCTACATCCAGGGTATCAAACGAAAGGTCACGGTAGTGCTTTTTGTCATGGGAATGCTGATGAATATTCTTATATGTTTTTATCAATATTTCAGTGTTATGTTATTTGGAACGAGCCAATCCCAGCTGACATCGGGCGAAAGGCGGGGTACACCCTGGACAGGTCACAAATCCATCGCAGGGTAACATGGTTATATGGACAGAAATAATGTTTTAAAGATAATTCCCAATAAAAGTCAACATTTGAACAATAAATATTGCCAAAATATGGACATTTGCCTGGCACATTTTTAAAAATATTGTATTATAACTGTTTCAGTTTATTTTCATCAAATTTACAGTTAAATTGCATCACAGGTGTATTAAAGATGTTCAGTTGCATTACGATCTATGGTTTTGATGGTTTATTGCATTAAAAATATAGCTTTTTTACCAGGTGAAGATGAAAATTCATATTTATCATATTTTTCTTTATTGCATCTCCATTTAGTCTGTAATGGTAAAATAAATATGTATATATTTACAATTTTTATTCCTTAGCTTCTGACCAGAATTGTACATCTAGGCCAAATGGTTGAGGAGTTATTTCTGATTCATTTATATGATTTTAGGCATTTTTCCTGGGAAAAGGTGGCAGTCCCAAGTGTCACAGTGTCATTGCCTTTGCACAACCCACGTAGTGCATCATGTAATATATCATGATATATAACTGGACAGGGCAGTCCTGGTTCTTTTCTTCTGAAGAATCCTTGTGGATTATAAATGTTCTGTCTTTAATGATCAAACATTTTCAATATGATATTGCAATAATACTTATTTCATGTCATACTTCATGTATTAGAATATATGCTACATTTTAAAATGTGTGTGTCATTGCTTTGGTTGACAGCGCAGATGACAAGGCTTTTGAATCTTGAGTTTGTTCTCCTACCTTGGTGAGGTAGGATTTTCTCAAGTGTCCTTCATCTTGACTTTTGTGCTTAGAGGCTCACATTTGTTTTATCTATTTGATTAACCAAATATAAATGCGAATGTCTTGGTTTTGGAAGCAAATTAATGGGCGGGCACTTTGACAAGTGCAAATGACTTTGTAGAGAGAGATGTTTATTAACCCACAATGTGGTGAAACTATGATTGTTTTGAACAACAGAGAAGTGGATTATCATGCCGTTATTTCACTACATTTGTCTGACAATTTAGTTACATTGCTGTAGTTACTTTTCAGATTAAGATTTGATAAACTTCTAAAATACAACACATTGTTATCCGTGGTACACTACATTTCAGAGGGCCATATTGTAGTTTTTTATCCACTACACTGATTCGGCAACTTTTTTAAATTACTCATATTAAAACAAAAAAAGATCAGAGAAAAGACAAAAAAACTTTCTGTTTTTTCTTCTTTCCTCTCACGTTAATCACCTCGTGACCCCTCAGATTTATCTTGTGACCATTTGAAAAGGCTCGTAAGTTGGGAACTGCTGGACTAAACTAGCTAAGTGAATATAAAGTACTGGCTTCACCTTGGCCACCTGTAACAGTAAAATAGTAGTCAACCATTGATCAGTATTACCAACCTAATAATGTCAAATTCAATATGTGTCTGCAGAATAATTACTTTTACTTATACTTTAAGTACATTATTCTGATTATAGCATGATTTTAAATGATTTTACTAGTAATGGAGTATTTTTACGTTGTGGTATTGTTATTTTCACAAAGCATCTGAATACTTCTTTCACCACCCTCCTAGCTTATACAGTACATTTCTGATCTTGTGGATCTAGTGGAGCCAAGTATACTGTGACAAGTAACGGACACTGACAGCGATTCATGAACTTGATCATGTACTTTTTACTTCACTTGTCTCACTGCAACCAGGAAAGTGTTGTGACATGAAGAATCAGTGAAACGTAGTTTGTTTGAGTGCTGGATAACTTTGACACTTTTGACAATTTTGCAATCTGTTAATGAAGAAACGACAATATAAATTAGAGTTAAAATGAATTAATCAATTAGATGATCAACAGAAAAATAACTATTTTGACAATCAATAAATCATTTCAGACATTGGCTGTCAATCAAGTGCCAACAAATCTCTGGTTCCATCTTCTCCAGTGAGAGACTTTTATTATATATACAGTTATATATAAATATAATTATATAAACGGAGTTATCTTCAGGTTTTGGACTTTTTGAACAAACAAGATATTTAAGGACATCTCCTTGGACCCTGAAAAGGTGTGAATGACATTTCATCAAGGGAGTAGTATTTGGCATTACTATGAGCATATTGAATTTGGTCATTCCAGCTACATCTTTGCATAGAAACACGCCTGAGTGTTTTTTAAAGTGACGGTCTGCTAACCCCACCGCTGTCTGAATAAGGAGCTGCTTCTGACCACCTCCAGAAGTCTCTTTTAGCTCAATGTCTTAGTTTAACA